GTGATCGCTTCTTCGTCTTCTGAACTGCTTCCTGGAACTCGCATGTTCAATTCTATCGGCTTCCGTCATATTTCTTGCTGTACGGAGGCATATCAGTACTCTATACTCCCATTCCTAGCACGCTGCCTCAAGTGTGAAGAAATGGAAATTCAGAGGCTAAAATCAGATGTGGATACCATGTCAACCTTTAGACTTTGAGTATTCAATGACCTTTTAGCTTACCTTACCCGTGCTCTGAATGAATGGAGCCATTTTTGCTGAAAATTTTGGATATTCACCTTTAAAATAAGGCATGTATATATTTTATTAGTCGATGTCTTTGAGAAGTCAGTCGGCTCTTTCTCCCCGATCAGATGCTATAAATACACGCAGCCCTTATATGAGAATGACTAGTTATTTGTGAATACAACAATTCGCCTCGGGTAAGATCAGCTTCTTTTAATTACAAGGACCAGACGCTAGTCATAACAAAAACAAAAGCAATGACATCACTCATTGTCTTCATCTGAGGAGAAATAAGCCTTATTCCATTTTTGTAGTCGTTGAAAGGCAACCTTTTGGTTTCAAAATGCTTATTATTGTGAAATGTTTAAAGACTGTATAATTTCCATTCAAATCACGTTATATTCGTTCGTTTATTCATACGATTGCAAAATTGTATGAGCACTATATAATATCGTCTTACTGACATGTAGAAATGCATGATATTCATTCTACATTTGAAGAAGGCGCAGTTTGCCATCAAATAAAGACAATCGCTAATTATTTTTTGCTTATGCTTTCTACAAAATATTTTAAAATTTGTATGAGCATCGAAAAACCTGTATAAACGGTGCGCACTACGTAGTTTGTCAGCCTTGTTACCGATTAAGGTCTCTTCATGAGACTGAAAAGGCGTTCGTTCAAAAGCCGGCAGGTTGTTATGTCTGAAATATCTTGCGATTATGCTCTAAGGTAATAAATATAGTAATTCAACTTAAATAATCTTTCTTCCTCTAAAATACATTTTAAAACAGGTTAATTTTGCCTGAAATCGGTCAATGGCTGTACAAGCATCATCTACCAAGATAACGATAAGTAACGCCCGCGGCCGTCAGGCCCCAGAAACATAAGCCAGAAAGCTGAGACAGCAAAAGAGGAACACAATCGATGAGTCCAAGAGCGACAAGCTCGGCCATTTACTAGAAATTCTGGTCGATTTGCGGCAAGCAACAATTTGAAAATGAGTACTTGATTAAGCCCTTCTAAAAGTCAATAAAAGACGAAATCTGTCCTGATGAGAAACACAAATTCCGGAAACTTACCACTGCCGCAACGGGTACAGTGGCGATGGGGCCGTTCACAGACGCTATCGGTCCAATGACGGTGTTAACACTGTCTTCACTTTCTCTCCTGCGGCTCCGCGATACGGGACGAACGGCAACAGGAGGTCTGCCTGTCGGGGTCGCAGGATTAGTCTCTGCGAGGTCATCGGGTGAGGTCAAGTTAGGCCATACCGCAGGTGGGTTAGGAGAGGGATTGCTAGCAGATGCGGGTGATGGTTGCACTGCAGTGACTAC